GAGTTTGTATGGTTTTTCGGTGTCGATTGAGCTTCTTTTGTGCTGGCCATAACCCTGTCAACTTCCCCTCACATTTCTGCTGCCGATCTACCCTTTTTCCAGCGAGATCCATCACCTTGATCCGATGACTCTTTGACTTCCTGGCGCGATTTCGCTCACTTTTTGGTGACCTTTCATCTCCCCAGGGCTTGATCTGAACTCCCCATCACCTGAGCTTTCCATCAGTACCTTTGGATCCCATTTCCGCCACCATTTGCTCGGCGAGTGTGACTGTTCGTATTCTAGGCTGCATGTTGGTCGTTTTTGCTCCTTCACATCATCTCGTTGTCGGTTACATCCTCTTCACCATGACAGTTTTGTTCCCACAGTTCTAGCCTTCGTTGACACCACCATGAGCGGCTAAGCTATTAGTTGCTTGTTACAGTGTAGGGAGATCAGGATCGACACTCATGGATCTTCTCGGTAGTTCTTGACTAGTTGGATGAGCCTGAATGTTGGATATTTGGTTAAGTTTCTTGTATTTAGATTATATTTGTTTCGTTTTAGTTTGTTTGCGATGCTTTAATATTATTCTGATGCTCGACGTGCTGAATTGATAATGTCCATTAAGAACGTTTGTTGTTATATAACTGCAATCAAGTTGTATTAGCATTTAATATCATTTCTACTAGGAATGTATTTGTTGTGTAATTAGTTGATTGGATGATATAAGTTGATAGGTTGTACTTGTTAACGTTGTACCAACTAGTGGTGTTTAAGGGTTTAGCATTTTTCGGTTAGTCAATGATAGTCTTTAACAATCGATCTGTAACTAAGACGATGGAGAGACAGGATAGACTATACCTAGATTGCCGGGAGATATTTTTATTGATTTGCCTAGCCTTGTAGGTTTAGGAAACCGAAGAGCGAGAAGAGGAATTGTGAGAGTTGGTCTTGAGTCAAACCGAACCCGTAGCGGCAACACTTTTAATATTGTGTTTTAGTTAGCAATTTATTTGATGCTTTTAATTTCCTGCAATTAATTAGTTTCCTTAGTTTTAATCAATCATTTTGCCAATTTCTCTTTCGTTTACTCAAATATACATTAGGTCATTAGTCTTGCTCTCTGTGGATTCGACCCTGCTTACCGCTAACTACGATATTTAGGTTTAATTTGGTGGCTGTGACGACCGGTCCGACAAAACACAAGTTCAGCTATAGCTGCATGGATATGAGACAAAGCTCTAGGAGCCTTAGTAACTTCCTCCTTAAGAAGCTTGATCTGATTCAACGTGGGGTTTGGCGCCAATACAGGTGGTTGCTTATTCTCTTTAACATACTGCCATAAACCTTGTCCCCTCATGAAAGTCTTCATTTTGACAGACCACATGTGGTATTTCTCACCATTGAAGATTGGAGGAGTAAGAGAAGCTGTGTATTATGCCATTGAATCAAGCTGTATGGAGTTTAACAAATGGTTTCACCGTAACAGAGGCTAAGAAGTTGGATGAAAAGAGATAAATGTATCAGGCCCTTAAGATCAACTACAACTCTGATACCAATTGTTGAGTCAGATGGTTCAACTGGAGAGTGATAAAGGAGAGAAATGAAAAAGGGACGGCTGAAACTGGAAATGTGTGCTTTGTTTTCATTCATTGAACATGGATTACATTTATACAAAAATAGTCCATTGTTCTTACCTAAACAACCTACTGTAGTGGATGAGATGTTACATATTTGAATTTAAATAAAATCTTACACCAAAACATGTCTTAATCTCAACTAAACATGTCACCAAAACATCACCATACTGTATCAAATTCTGTAGCATCAACTACTGCACCCGAATAGAAACATAAGCACTTGGCGCTAAAAAAGTTGTTTGAAACCTTAATTGAACAATGTTGCATTTCCAGCAGGTTATCACCATCTTCAACAGCTCCATTAGACTTGTTGCTTGTGATTGTTTACAGATTTTTCTTGCCATGAATGAATATTCTTCTAAGATGTGTACCTGTCTTTTGTTTATGAACAATTTGTTGTTGTTTCATTTCATTCTATGGTTAATGCAGATTCTGAAGCATGCAAAACTGCTGTCCAAAATTTTGCTAATTGGTCCACTGTTTATACCTCCAGTCCATGTAACTTATGTGGCAAAGGTAGCTGTAACTGCTGCAATAGATCCAACGTTCCCTCATGGCATCATCGACGTATATGGCATACTACAACGTGGCCACCAAAAATCAATTTAGACTTGTTAGGAGATCTCTTCTTTGTATTTTTTATTATTATTGTTCTGATTATGCATATTAATAACCAGTTATTGAACAGTGAGAAAAATAATGGCTATGTTTGGTTCACTTTTTTGCAGTTTTTAGAAAAGTTTTTTTAAAAAAGTTGAACTGGGCTGGTATTACGATGTAGGATTTAGAAATTAATAAAAATACCCCCTATGTTTGTTTATTTACTAAACACCCCTATAATAAAACTTTGAAAGTTAGCAAAAACACCCTAACCCACCCATTGAATAATCACAGCCGGCCACCACCACCGGAGGGTGGCCGGAGTCGCCGTATAGGTGCATGACTGGCTAGATCTTGCTGGTCGTGCACCGATATGGCCTTTGCCGGCCAGATCCATGGTGGATCTGGCCGACAAAGGCTAGATCTGGCCATTGACGGCTAGATCTTGCCGCATTTGCTCGTCAACGACGGCCAAAGATATGGCCGTCGTTGATGGTCAACGACGACCATATGCTGGCTGTCGTTGACGTTTGGTTATGGCCAAAGATCTGGTCGTCAACGGCCAGATCTTTGGCCTTAGAGCTGGCCTTTTTCGGCCAGATCCACTGTGGATCTGGCCGGAAAAGGTAGATCGGCGCACTACCAGCCATATTCAGCCGGTATTGCGCCATTATATCATATTCCGGCCAACTTCCGACAGTGGTGGCCGGAATCTGGTATAATGTGGGTTTAGGGGTGTTTTTGCAATTTTGAAAAAAATATTTAGGAGTATTTAATTAAATTAACAAATTTAGGGGGTTTAAAAAAAGTTGAATAATATTGGATAATATTGTGAGTTTTTGGGCATTTTGCTGTTTAACTTTTTTGGGAATATTAATAATAGTATTCTCAAAAACCAACCAAACGAAGCCAATATTTCTCCGACATGGTACTGTTGGAGATCCCATATCAACTAGGCACGCTTAAGCCAATGTGTTGATAAGAGTAGGCAATCCTCCCACTAAATAAGGCCTTTTGGGTGAGGAGTTAGGTACAACTCCAACAAGTGGTATCAAAGCCAGCCCCATTTGAGTTGAGTGATTGACCAGTGGTGGGCTACCAAACTACCTCCATTCATAGGCAAGTGGACCATATGGGCTTGACCGTCGGCGGGAGTGTTGGAGATCCCATATCGATTAGGCACGCTCAAGCTAATAGGTTTATAAGAGTGGACAATCCTCCCACTCAATAAGACTTTTTGGTGAGGAGTTAGGCCCCGCTCCAACAAGAGGTACTATTGCCATATCAGACAGTGTCTCTTGTAGATTGAATATTTATTTTTTGTATATTTACATTTATCAAGTCAATAAAAATGTGTGGGTTTAACAAATTGATGTTCTCTTTGGTATTTCTTCCTGATATCTAGTTGAAAGATAACCAGTCACTCTTTGGAAAATATTTAAGGAACTCTAGAGAAAAATGGTTAAACTGAACTTGGTGGTTTTTTTGCTTTCAATATTTTATAACTAGTTTGCATTGTACTAAGTCTGAAGTAAGATTGCTCAAGAGAAACTCAGCATAAAGTCTTTAAAATCTTTGAATAATTGATTTGATCTCAGACTGCATATTACTCTTCAGTTTTGATCTACCTAATGGCAAAAAACGTTGGGTAAATCTATGGTATGATGTCATTCATTTAATTGCTCAATAGAACTGTGCCAAGTCTATGTTTATTTCTCTTTAATCTATCCCAACTGTTAACACTAATAGTGAGTTATAGTATGAATGAATACATAACATGCTTTTATTTGATTTTGAAAGTTGATGTGGTGGAACGAATGTTACCCAAGACTCTCCCATTTAGGGAAAGAGAGTAAAATGAGAGTGGTAAGGCAAATCTCCTTTTAGGGTGAAATGTCTTACATAGATGTGTGGTCAAATGCCACAATCCTACTGAAAGTTAATGAACAAAGAGGAAGATTTGTAATGCTTGTTGAAGCTGCAGGTTAGGAATCAGTAAACGTGTGCTTTCGAGATAACCTAGAAAAGAAGACCTTTGTTCGTCCTGGTGAAGATGAATGTCCTTAGTTGGAAGGATTGGAATGGTGAATCAAAGGTCAATTTTTTCCGGAGATTGTGCTGCAGTGATTTACAGATAAATGTTGTTTTTTACTTTATAACAGGAGATAATTACAGTCGTTTGAGCATGATTTTTTACTTCACATCTTGCTTGTCAAATCTGAAACATTCCTGGCAAGGAGTAGATAGTATTTTTCCTTTTTTGGTTTGAAGTATCCATTATTTTCTTGTTTGAATTGTAGGCTTTTTCATGCAGGATTGTTTGCAACAACCTGTTGAGTTATGATCATTTGCTTGCAATCTGATATATATCAATGGTATTCTTCACCACAATCTTATGACTCCAGAATCTTAGCCGATTTCATAAATTTTTGAATAAAAATTGTGTGATATATGGCTACTAGGTCAATTGAATTAATGGAATGTGTTGTCCGAGACTCATTTATCAGTGACCTGCTAAAAGATTCAGACTAGGGGCATCATATTATTTTAATGCATTTCAAAGATAAGGAAAAGTGATTGAAGACTCAAGACTAGAAACAATTCATTAAAGCTCTCTCTTTATGTTCGAAGTACACAACGGTGACAAGAAACAAAGAAAGGAAAAGGACACAAAAAAACAGCCAGCTATTGATGAGCTAAACAATGGCAAAAACAAATAAACTGGTTAAATGTGTACTATTCGAAGAGAAGCAGGTGGGTGTCACTCATCCTTTGGTTTTATTTGTTGATTCCAACGGCATTCTTGGCAGCATCAGCAGCACCCTGAGCTTTATCCTGCATTTGCTGGCCAGCCTGTATACATGTGTTTATCATTAGTCATGAACTTCAACAACAATTAAGCCTGGTTAGTTGAATGAACTTCAACCCCTTCTAGTCTTTATTCATCTCTAGATGTAAGTTTTTCGCTTTGTATAGATACCTGTTGGCACGACTNGTGATATATGGCTACTAGGTCAATTGAATTAATGGAATGTGTTGTCCGAGACTCTTTTATCAGTGACCTGTTAAAAGATTCAGACTAGGGGCATCGTATTCTTTGAATGCATCTCAAAGATAAGGAAAAGTGATTGAAGACTCAAGACTAGAAACAATTCATTAAAGCTCTCTCTTTATGTTCGAAGTACACACCGGTGACAAGAAACAAAGAAAAGAAAAGGACACAAAAAAACAGCCAGCTCTTGATGAGCTAAACAATGGAAAAAACAAATAAACTGATTAAGTGTGTACTATTCGAAGAGGAGCAGGTGGGTGTTACTCATCCTTTGGTTTCATCTGTTGATTCCAACAGCATTCTTGGCAGCATCAGCAGCACCCTGAGCTTTATCCTGCATTTGCTGGCCAGCCTGTATACATGTGTTTATCATTAGTCATGAACGTCAACAACAATTAAGCCTGGTTAGTTGAATGAACTTCAACCCCTTCTAGTCTTTATTCATCTATAGATGTAAGTTTTTCGCTTTGTATATATACCTGTTGGCACGACTCCTTGGCAGATTGGGCAGCATTATTAGCCTTATCCATCATCTGGCTGCTCTTTTCCTGGAAGAAAATGTAAATATTTACATCATTACATGATAGAAGATTATGCAACATGTATCATGGATGTTGAACTGGAATTAAGGAATGTTAATGTTCATTTATGTAAGAGGTCACCTGAGCTTGGCCTGTGGCCTGGCCGGCTTGGAAACCTGTGTTCTGGGATTGGTCCATTTTCAGTTTTCTCTGGAATTAACGCAGAAGACAGTAGGAACTAAAACTCAATTGCTTTTATGAGGTAGAACTCATAACCTGTTCCGCTTTATAGTGTGTAGATACCAGGCCATTTTTAGACATCTGTGATGCCATGTGACATGTGTTTCGATATGGTTTAATTTGGAGCAAATTTGGGCCTTTGGACCAGGGATGCTGTTGACAATATTTTGCTATTTCTGTATTTCTGATGTAGAGATGACTAATGCAGCGTTAATGAAGAAACTGCCACGTGGAGATCATGTCTCCTATTCTCTTGCTTTGGCTCTAGACTTCTGACTTTATCATCTTCAGCTAGGTGGTAGGATTTTCACTCAATGAATTGATAACATCTTCCCCTCCAGAAAGAACAATTAATAGGTTTTGGATATTTTTGAAGGTCTTAGCTTTTTGCCATAAGAGATCAGGCTTGAAGCCTCATTGGACAATATTGATTGATTAACATGATGGGAAGAATTATTCTTTTTAGATAACATTGTTAGTAAAAAGTTCATGTTGAATAGACCATTATATCTTGCTAAGATTTTAATTGAACCCGGACTCTTGTGAGACATTTTTCCTAATTGGGCATGTCCGTTATCAACAGGTTTCTCTTTGGAAGGTCATATCTCTTCTAAAAGTTATGTACCTTCAAAGGTTTCCCTTTGGAAGATCATGTCTCTTCTAAAGGTCATGTCTCTTCAAAAGGTTGTACTCATATCTCAAAATGGTTTTACAAAAGATGCCTTCTCATTTAAAAGGTACTAACAATCCTATATAAGGAATTGGATTTTTTGTAGAAGTACAATGGAAAAGAAAAACCACTACAATCCTATTAAAACCAAAACTCTCTTTGGTCTGCTTTTGTTTTGTGCATAATATAAGTAGATTCTTTACTATATCCTAAAGAAATTTGCTGATTCTATTTGCATTAATAAATGGGTGAAATTTCCTTCACGAAAGTGGCATTGTTGTACGCCTTGAAGTTGGTAGTTTATTTCTTGGTTCTAAAAAACTCTTCTTGGATTTGGTACTTTAAATTATTCACATATGTCCCTGATAAGTGATAATTGGTCATTCAAATACAGAGATATGCATTATTTGAAAAATATAGACAGATAGTGACCTAAGTTGAAACTTGAAACCTCCATGATATTTCTTTATTTATTTGAAATCTTGTTCCTTTTCTCTTTGCATCAAGTTCATTCAATTCAGATATGACACAACAAATATAAGTTTAATTTTTAAAAAACTAATGTGGAAATTAATATAAAAAAAAAAAAAAACTGATTCACATTAAAATATATATGTTCTCTTCTTGTTGAGAAATCCCAGAGTTTGACTAGGATGGATTTGTATCAGTACAATTGTCTCTCCCATATTCACCCAATGCTTTTGATAAACCGGTCACAACAGCAGATTAATGGTAATAAGGAATTCTTTTGTTCCATTTTACAGGTGTAATTTTGCGGTCTAGCTTTATACATGGGACTCGTCGGGAGGGGCAGATGTAGTTGCCTCTTATGTGTCATTGAGGTTCTATTGGAGATGATAACTTGACTTTTTACAAATTATTTTAAGCTTCCATAGTTCTTACCAGTATCCAATGTGTTTCAACCTCATCTAGTAGGTGTTTGGAGAATTACAATCATCGTATATTTCCTTACCCACCTTATCTGGTAAGATTTGGATTTATCTCTTACTCACTTCAATTAGTTGGGTTCAAAACGTGTTCGAACTCAGGATATCATCCATAGAAATGAGTCAAAGAGTATCAATTGAGTTATCTGTGGATGATATCTTGAGAAATATATCCATTCTCTTCTGGTTGAGAAATTCCCAAAGTTCACAAAGGTGGCTATGTATCAGTGTAATCCACCCTCTCTTATCACACAATGATTTTGATAATTAGTTTCTGGAGCAGTGTAATGGTAACAGGGAATGCTTTTGTCCAATTGTAACAGGTGTAACTCTGAGGCCTGGCTTTTGTCCAAAGTGATGATATTTTGCTTGAAACAAACTTCTTTTTATTGTTAAACTGAAGCTGGAAACTAGCGGCAAAAAGCAAAATTTGAAGTGGTGAAGTTGGCTAGGAGCAGTTCACCGAAACTGGTTTTTAGGCATGTTGGAGTGATTGTTTTTGGTGAATTCAACATACATTAAGCTACCTACTTTAATCATGTTAATGTGAGGTAATTTGAGTTGCTAAAGATGTATGGTTAAGATGTATTTTGGCATTAAAATATGTTTTAATGTTAGGTACAACAGTGGCATTAAGATGTATAAACTTTGTTGCTTCTTAATGAATGAATACAGAAAAAAACAAGTCTTCCACTCTCTCATCTCTTCTTTCTTCTTGTTCTCTCCCGTGTACTTAGTTTGTGTTCAATCTCCAATAACCAGCAACTGGTATCAAAGCTCCATTTGATCTCAAGGGGCCTGCAAAGCTTTCATTCGGTGCTTACTCAGTTAGTCCTCATCACACCAAAAACCAATCTTCATGGCAGCAAGTTCAGACTCACTCTTACCTCCAACCTTCAATGGAGAACAGTACCATATATGGGCTATTAAGATGAAGGCTTTTCTAAGAGGTCAGAGTTTATGGCAGTACATAGAAGAAGAGAAGCAGCCGCAACAGTTGGGGCCAAATCGAACGTTGAATCAAATAAGAATCCACGAAGAAGAAACTGCAAAAGCTCCGAGAGCTCTGTCTCATATACATGTTGCTGTTATAGATCAAGTTTTCACAAGGATAATGGCTTGTGAGACAGCAAAGGAAGCTTGGGACAAGCTCAAGGAAGAATTTGGAGGAAGTAGCTAAACCCGAAATATGCAAGTCTTGAACTTAAGGAGAGAGTTTGAGACATCAAAGATGCAAGAAGCTGAAGTGGCTAAGGAGTATGTTGATAGATTAATGAATATGGTTAACAAGATAAGGTTGCTAGGGGAGGAGATAACAAATCAACGATTTGCAGAGAAGGTATTGGTGAGCTTACCCAAGAGGTTTGAGTAAAAAATCTCCTTTTTGGAGGATTCCAAGGACTTGTCTCAGATCACCTTGACTGAGTTTGTTCATGCACTTCAAGCTCAAGAGCAAAGAAGGAAGTTGAGGTAGGAACACAGTGGTGAAGCAACATTGGTTGTCCTACGAAAGGGCAAGCCAACTCAAGGAGGAAACAAGAAACATGTTGGAGATAAGAGAGGAAAAGAGAAAGGCAGGAGTCAGTGGAATAAACCAAGAGGTTTCAAGGGTTTTCCACCATGTTCTCACTACAAAAAGAAGAACCATGCAGAGAGTAAATGCTGGTTCAAACAAAATTTTCAATGTCAGGCATGTAAACAATTCAGCCACATTGAAAAAGTCTGCAAAAACAAACCACACCAACCAACACAGCAAGCATAGACAACTGAAGATCTACACCAAAATTCAGAATCAGAACAGTTGTTTGTAGCCTCCTGCTATGTTGTTTAGTTCAGTTCAATGATGGAGCTTGGCTGATTGACAGTGGATGTACAAATCATATGACACCTAATCTGGAGAATTTTGTGAGTCTAGACCAATCATACAATCAAGAGAAAAGGTTGGAAATGGTGACTATGTGAAGGCAAAGGAGATATGGTTGTGTAGACCTTGACAGGTACAAAAATCATTACTAATGTTTTGTTTGTTCCTGAAATCAATCAAAACCTACGTAGTGTAGGACAGATGCTTGAAAGAAACTACGCTCTGCATTTTGAAAATCAATCCTACATAATATTAGATAATGAGGGAAATGTGATGATGTATGTAAAAATGGTGGGAAAGAGCTTCCCAGTTGAGCTCAAAAAATCAGAATTTCAAGCCATGTCAGCTAATTTAGATGACACAAACCTATGGCATAAAAGGTATGGTCATTATCATTATGCTAGTCTTAGACAAATGAAGCTAAAAAATATGGTTCACACCTTACCTGAAATAGAAGAGAATGAGAGTTTGTGTAGAGCATGCCAAATAGGGAAGCTTAGCAGACGCTCCAATTGGTACATACTAATGTGTGTGGACCAATGCAGACCTCATCCCTGAATGGATCCAAGTATTTTACTTTGTTTATTGATGATTATTCAAGAATGACTTGAGTGTACTTCCTAAAACAAAAATGTGAAGTTGCTACTATGTTTAGGAGGTTTAAAACTCAAGTAGAAAACCAAGCTAGTGTAAGGATAAAGGTTGTGAGAAGTGGTAATAGGGGTGAATATACCTCATGGGAGTTTGAATCAATATGCAGGGATGCTAGAATATGGCTCTAGTATAGCTGTCCTTACACTCCTCAACAAAATGGAGCAAGTGAAAGGAAAAATAGGACAATGATGGAGATGTCAAAATGCATGCTGACTAAAAAAAGTTTGCCAAATGAGTTGTGGGCAAAATCTGTGAACACTAGTGAGTACTTGTTGAATAGGATTCCAACTAAGGCTTTATAAGATCAAACTCCATTTGAAGCATGGTATGGAGTCAAGCCTCAAGTGGACCGTCTTAGAATCTTTGGTAGTGTATGTTATGTCCTCATACCATCCATCAAAAGATCCAAACTTGATGACAAAGCAAAAGTTGGAATCCTAGTTGGTTACAACCGCCAATCCAAGGCATACAAAATTTATATTCCGGGGTCTAAAAAGGTGGTGATTTCAAGATGTGAGGGTTGATGAGAGGTCAGTTTGGAACTAGGAGGAGAAGAAAATTCAAGATGATACAAGGCCACTGCAAAGGGAACAAGCTGCTGACCAATTTGGTGGGGTAGATTCTGATACAGAAGAAGAAACATCAGTTAGAGGGACCAGACCTCTTGCTGAGATTTATGGGAGATGCAATGTAGCTATGCTTGAACCATCATCCTATTCAGAGGCAACCAAGTTAGAGTCATGGAGAATTGCGATGCATGAGGAGTTGTCCATGATAGAAAATAATGGAACATGGAAGCTTGTGGACAGACCTGCGATAGAAAAATGATCCAAGT